TTTTTTTTTTAAATTAAATCCCATGGTTATCACTCTGATCTTTGAAAATTCATTATTCAGTTTTAGTCTAGCACCTAGTATTAGAACAGAGAAGACAAGAGCGGGTGTGCAAATTATAACACATCAAATTTCCTTAGACAGTGACTAGTTTCAATCTGGAATGGATAAAGTGCTTGGTTTAGTGTATATTGTCCTTTGAACTAGTAAGACATTATCAAGCTATCATCAGTAATATTCTTAGAAACTGAAATGTCCAAAGTGACACAAATTATCAAGAAGACAGTGTATCTGGAAAATATATCAGACAATGTGTTACCTTCTCTTGATATGATTATACCATTTCAGCCATCTCAAGACATTTCAACTATTGCTATTGATTCCAATTACCCCCTGCTATATATAGTCTTCTTAAAACATTCCCTGAAGACACTGAAGCCTAATGTGCAAGGTTTTATCTCTGGCCTCTCTCAGAGTTCTATCTCAGCACATGGGTGTAGCTTGTTCCTTCAGTATTCTTTTGACATTGACATACAGGTCAAGGGAAGGAGGTCAGATAAAAAAGTTTAAAATAATATAAGAGAAGGTGGCAAAATTCTCCTCTTTTCATAGGAATGTAATTGCTTATCAGTATCAGTCCAATAAGATGCAAAAAAATAATGATTTGTGTTGTTTCTATTCAAATAATTCCCATGTTGAAAGGATTCTAATACTTCTACCATCTAAATGTAAAGCGACATGATTCCAGTTGTTACATTCTGATTGATTTTTAACTAGTTGTCCATTTTAAATCAAATTAGAAGGAATTCCTTTTTAGAATTCTTAAACCTAATCTGATTGGTTAATCAATACCATTAGCAGACGCCTATTTTCTAATGGAAATAATAATGGTACATTACATTATCAGATCTAAATAAAACTTTCTATAATGGCTTGGGATTTGAGAAAAACTAAGGAACTTAAATCCTAATAAATTCTACTTTGGTTTAAAGGCTTTATTGATAAAGGTTAAGGGCCAATCAAATATTCCTATGAGTACTGTTTACACGTTCAGACACTTTCTGTCAGTGTTGTCTGTTTACAAGTTCAGACAATTTCTGTCAGTGTTGTTGTCTGTTTACACGTTCAGACAATTTCTGTTAGTGTTGTTGCCTGTTTACTAGTTCAGACACTTTCTGTCAGTGTTGTTGTCTGTTTATAAGTTCAGACAATTTCTGTCAGTGTTGTTGTCTGTTTACAAATTCAGACAATTTCTATCAGTGTTGTTGGTTGTTTACACATTCAGACAATTTTTGTCAGTGTTGTTGTCTGTTTACAAGTTTAGACAATTTCTGTCAGTGTTGTTGTCTGTTTACAAGTTCAGAAACTTTCTGTCAGTGTTGTTGTCTGTTAACAAGATCAGACGCTTTCTATCAGTGTTTTTGTCTGTTTACAAATTCAGACAATTTCTGTCAGTGTTGTCTGTTTACAAGTTCAGACAATTTCTGTCAGTGTTGATGTCTGTTTACACATTCAGACAATTTTTGTCAGTGTTGTTGTCTGTTTACAAGTTCCGACAATTCCTGTCAGTGTTGTGATCTGTTTACAAGTTCAGAAACTTTCTGTCAGTGTTGTTGTCTGTTAACAAGATCAGACGCTTTCTATCAGTGTTTTTGTCTGTTTACAAATTCAGACAATTTCTGCTAGTGTTGTTGTTTGTTTACATGTTCAGACAACTTCTGTCAGTGTTGTTTGTTATTAACAAGTTCAGACTCTTTCTGTTACAGTTTTTGATTGTTTATGAGTTCAGATTCTTTCTGTTACAGTTTTTGATTGTTTATGAGTTCAGATTTTTCTGTTACTGTTTTTGATTGTTAATGAGTTCAGATTCTTTCTGTTACTGTTTTTGATTGTTTATGAGTTCAGATTTTTCTGTTACTGTTTTTGATTGTTAATGAGTTCAGATTCTTTCTGTTACTGTTTTTAATTGTTAATAAGTTCAGATTATTTCTGTTACAGTTTTTGATTGTTTATGAGTTCAGATTCTTTCTGTTACAGTTTTTGATTGTTTATAAGTTCAGATTCTTTCTGTTACAGTTTTTGATTGTTAATGAGTTCAGATTATTTCTGTTACTGTTTTTGATTGTTTATGAGTTCAGATTCTTTCTGTTACTGTTTTTGATTGTTAATGAGTTCAGATTATTTCTGTTACAGTTTTTGATTGTTTATGAGTTCAGATTATTTCTGTTACAGTTTTTGATTGTTTATGTATTCAGATTCTTTCTGTTATAGTTTTTGATTGTTTATGAGTTCAGATTATATTTGTAATAGTTTTTGATTGTTTATAAGTTCAGATTCTTTCTGTTACAGTTTTTGATTGTTAATGAGTTCAGATTCTTTCTGTTACTGTTTTTGATTGTTAATGAGTTCAGATTATTTCTGTTACAGTTTTTGATTGTTAATGAGTTCAGATTCTTTCTGTTACTGTTTTTGATTGTTTATGAGTTCAGATTCTTTCTGTTACTGTTTTTGATTGTTTATGAGATCAGATTCTTTCTGTTACAGTTTTTGATTGTTTATGAGTTCAGATTCTTTCTGTTACTGTTTTTGATTGTTAATGAGTTCAGATTATTTCTGTTACAGTATTTGATTGTTTATGAGTTCAGATTCTTTCTGTTACAGTTTTTGATTGTTTATGAGTTAAGATTCTTTCTGTTACAGTTTTTGATTGTTTATGAGTTGACTAGCTCAGACACTTATATGGTTTTGAGTTCAGATACTTGCTGTTACCTAAATTGACTTTCAACCAGTTTATTTGTTGAATATATCTACTTATTATATTATTATATTCAAATCTTATGATTTATTGATGAGTTTCTACTTAGACAGTTATTTAGTCTAGACTATCTATCAGTTGTTAATTGTAGTTTTACAGTTATATAAAGTACTGGTACTTGATAATCAAGATACAATACAAAGACACTTATTTCCAGACACTATTGGAAATTATTTAAACTAATTTAAAAATCTATTTTACCCTTTTACCCTATTGCCAATGTCCTGTTGACATTTGATAATGTGTAATATTCTTATTATAAGAGCTGACATGAAGGAATAAAATGTAGTTTTTGGCACAGTATCTCCTTTCTTTTAAATCAA